GCAAACTATTTTGCAAAACAATTTTCTATGATTTTCTGTTTCTTAAGAGCCTATTGTGACTGTAATGGGTTGCTATTTTTAAAAAACCTATTTCATATTTTTATATACTAATTTATACTGTTCACTAAAATGTATGAAAAGTAATACTGAAATGCATTAAAGGTATTCCTACAAAATCTCAGATTTTATTTAGCCCACAAAGGGCATTTTAGTCCATCAGGATTTTATGTAAGAGATGAGTGGAATGAAAGGAACATGATAAAGTTTGACCTAATAGGCAGCAGATGTGGTTGGTTTATAAGCCAAGTAAGCTGAGCAGGAAAAAAAAAAGAGGCTAAGGAAATGGAAAAAACATTTACACTTTAAAGAATGTATCATATTCGGTCAAAGAGTTGCTAAGGGTGTGGAGTCAGCACAAGCCATACAGATTCACTCAACAGGGAGAGAAGGGCATATACATTTAATAAATGACAGGTATGCCTGAAATTTTGATAACTTTGAAACTAAAAGGTATAATCTCTAAAGGCAAGCTAAGATATCTTCTTTAAGTTGAGCCCCTATAAACTGCAACGCATTTGAAAAATGAGTTTTTTAAGCTGTAGAGAAAACCAAGAATTGTCTTTGAGTAAAAAAAAGATTAAACTGAAAAGAAAAAAGAGGGAACCCCAAGAAATTGTGCTAATGGAGAACTGGTGTGGAAAGACAAAATGTATGAGAGTTTGAAAAGAGCATTACTTGAAAGAGTCAGATCAAGATGGGGAATGCTGTACCATAATGTAAGTTCTACCTCTTGTACACATGTGTTACATTTATGGAATTTAATGAGTACAAATACCTTTTCCAAAATATCAGGTAAAGTTCAATAATGCCCAGAAAACATTAAAAAAATTATTGTCTTGTTTCTGCTGGGGACAAAGGGTCCATGTTTACTAATGAGTCTAATCTAGTTTTAGCTCCCTAAAAGTTGACAAGTTAAGGAGCCCAGGGACAAGATGATTTAAAAGAAGAATCTAAGAGCAAGACAACTAGCTTTAAGAAAGGGAGCTCTAATCACAGATAAATGAATGACATTTCAAGGATCAATGTGTCAAAACTATGCATTTCTGGATAGAGCAGAGTGCATTTTTATGAAAGCTAAATTACCTATCAATGTGAGACATTTTTAGAAAAAGTATATAACTCAATAGTTACAGTCCATTGGTATTTACTTGAAACAGAAAGAGTTTGGGAGCAAGTGTCTTCTTAAAGTTCTTAAATTCCTAAAAGTTCTTAAATTATAGGTCCCATGTCATGTTATAAATAGGATTAAAAAGTATAAGATTCTATCTGTTATATACTTTTAATATTGTCTTTTCTAGTGCTTGTACAAATGGATCAGCATGATCGATCTCTGACACAAATATGTTCAAATTTATGACAGGAACAACATCACTAACTAAATGAACTTAGCTGAATGGCATTGCCATACCCAATACCCATGGAGAAAATTTGCTTATACCCATCAGTTAGAAGATAGAACTTGAAAGTGCAGAAAGACACCTCCCCCCCACCCCCCAGAAATACTGGGGAGTAAAGCCAGTTAAGGTAACTGCTATAGGACCATGTATAATATCAGATCTATTTTAAGCATCCATACAAAGGACCATAGTAATTTTAAAGATTCAGCAATTAAAACTGGATCAGGTGAATTGGTTGTCTTCCCACAATATACTATATTCAATATGAGAACAGAAGTGTGACTTTAGACTTTAAACAAAAGAATATTAACGCACACATATACACATCAATAGAAATAACACTTACTGCTTTATATGGTGCTTTACAGCAGCAGTCCCCAATTTTTTTGGTTTGCCAGCCTAGCGGGGGGAAAAAGGGGATAGTTTCTTGTGAGTGGCAGGCAGCTGGCACCAGTGAAGGGAGCTTTGCATGCGAGCACAAAATAGCCACCGCTTGTGCAAGAGAAACTTTGTGTGAGAGGACAAACGGGTGCTGCTCGCACAAGAGGAACTTCACATGCAAGCGGCCACCACTCATGAGGAGAACCTCGCGCATAAGGGCAAGTGGCTGGCGCTTGTGCAAGAGCAAGCAGTCACCGCTCACACGAGGGGAAGTTCATACCCATGCCTGCACTCACCCAGTGCCTGCACGGCCCGGTTGCGAATAGGCTGCGGCCCAAGGCTTGGGGACTCCTGCTTTACAGCACTCTTGAAGCGGTTCACAATCAGCATATTGCCTCCAACAATCTGTGTTCTCATTTTACCTGTAGGATGGAAGGCTAAGTCAAACTTAAGCCGCATCAGGATTGAACTCCAGGCTATAGGCAGAATTTGCCTGCCATACTGCATTCTAACCACTGTACCACCAGGACTCCTATATAATGGACATATGGCTTGGTTACTTGTCGCCTATAATGCCTGCTTGTCTGATTTGATCTTGCAGGAATGTAATGCTCTAGATTCCTTCAATTAAATAATGTGATCTCCCAGAAGTGCACCTACTGTGTAGCAGTGCCTGCCTTCTGGAATAAGAATGTGACATAGACGAACACAATACAGAAGCCTGATGATAGCAGATGAGATTCTGCCGAAACGTTGCTACAACTTTAAAACAACTTGCTGCAACTTTAAAAGCACAACTATAATGACGTGGGAAAATACCCGAACAAAGCTGAATACCATACATGTAAGTACCCGCGAAAAAAAAACACACACACACATATATATGTAGGTCTAGGCGTGTTCGGGCAACCATCATCCAGTAACCAGACCACGGCTGCTTTGCCAGCTGTCGCACACCCTGACCCCAAAACCAAACAAGCTGACACACGCCAAGAACACAGACCCAGACCCCAAACTCAAAGCCAGACCAAAACCCAGAATGCTACATTACAGCCACCCGCTCAGTATATCACATCAGAAAACTCAAGAAATTATACCACAAGAACTCAAGAAGTTGCAACACAGCAAACGACCCAGGAAATCACAGCACAAGACCACAGCAATAAAACTCACAAAGTAACCACATAACTCATTACCCAAGCCATTACAACACAGGAGGCTAATGGAAAAGAGATCAAAACACAAACGACCCAGGAGATTAAAGCACAAGATCCAGGCTATCTCCACAAAAAAACTCACAACGCTATCACACAGCCCATTATACCAACATCAACTCCATCTACCAATCAAGAGGCAGCAGTACAGCCAACCAGCCCAGCACACCAGCCCCCCCCACCAGTATTTCTAGAGAGATGGTAGCTCCGATCACATACTGCTTGCACTGGCATGAAGCCGAAAGCACCAGCCTGAGGATGGCAACGAAATATCGCCAAGATATTCTTAATCTTACATGGGAAAAGACCTGAATATACCTAGACCTACATACCTGTACCCGTGAAAATCTACGAATATATATATATATATGTTTTCTTAAGTTTTTGCGGGTACTTACATGTATGGTATTCAGCTGAATACCATGTGTGTGTGTGTGTGTGTGTGTGTGTGTGTGTGTGTGTAGGTCTAGGTGTGTTTGGGTCTTTTCCCATGTAAGATTAAGAGTATCTTGGTGACGTTTCGGCGAGGTCCCACTCGCCATCCTCAGGCTGGTGCTTTCGGCTTTGTGCCAGCTGAAAGCACCAGCCTGAGGATGGCGAGTGGGACCTCGCTGAAATGTCGCCAAGATACTCTTAAGCTTACATGGGAAAAGACCCAAACACACCTAGACCTACATACCTGTACCCGTGAAAATCCACGAAAACAAATATATATATGTATATGTACAAGAACCCTGCTGAGTTCTACAGTACCTTTAAAACTATCTTTGTGTGTCTACTATTTGCATTTTTAACTCTAATTGAGTGCCCTTTTCATACAGATGCATTCAAGACAAAATTTTAAGAGCAAGATACAAATACAGATATCAAAAATCATGCCAATTTGTCTTATGAAATACCAGTTTGTTTTCTAAAGTAACAAATTATAATAATTCTTTTCAACCAGAGGTGGTATTCAGCAGGTTCTGACCAGTTCCGGAGAACGGTAGTGGAAATTTGGAGTAGTTCGGAGAAAAACTAATAACATTTGCCAAAAAGTGCAAAGTGGCAACATCTTCATTTAAAATATCTCCCAATGTCTACAGTACGTATCACCAGGTAAACGTAAGTGTCCACAGAATCCTGCCTCATGCAAGAGAATTTAACAAGCTCTTTATAAAAGAAGTTAATAATAACTACTGTATTTGTAAAGAGTTGATAACACACACTGAATCAGATATTCAAGAAAGTAGAGAATCAGGAATTGGAGTGTTTGTTATAGAATGCCAATGAAATGCCATTTTAGTATCTTTATGTAACATTCCTAGAGATTATGATTAATGCAACAGAAAATGTTTCATGTCTCTTGGAAAGTTATGTGCCTTTTCAGAAAGAAATTGATTGGTTTAGCTAAATATGTTGCTCAAAACACAACAGTATAAAATTAAATAATGTTATATTATAATCAGATGTGGTATTCAGCAGGTTCTGACCAGTTCTGGAGAACCGGTCGCGGAAATTTTGAGTAGTTCAGAGAACTAGCAAATACTACCTCTGAATGGAGATTTTACAGTATCCTTCCCCTGCCACGCCCACCAAGCCACACCCACAGAACTGGTAGTAAAAAAAATCTGAATCCCACCACTGATTATAATCATCTTTTTTCCTTCCATTCAATCATGTCTGAATCTTAGAAACTGTGTGGACAAGCCCTGCAGTTTTCTTAGCAATGTTTTCAGAAGCAATTAGCCATTGCTTCCTTCCTAGGGTTCAGAAAAAATGTCTAGCTAAAGAAGGCCACTCAACTGGTTTTGTGTTCTGTTGCAACCAGAAGTCACTGTCTCCCAGTTTCTTGCCTGACGTCTTAACCACTACACCAAATTGGCTCCCATAATGAATATAATCTTTGTTTAATAGATACACTTGTACTACAGTATATTAACTCCCATATGGACAGAACTTGTTTTAGGAGTTAATTTTGTTTTGGAAAACTCACAATTTTTGTAGATACTAGTGCATGCCCTTTATGAACATGATTCATAAGCCATTTGTTTTTATATTTTTTGATGCCTGGACATGATACCTACCCTCAGACTATCCTGTGCTTCAAATGCTAGGAATTCTTGTTAACCCAATACTTGGTGACTATGAACTTTCCCTTCCCTTAGCCAGTGATAGAGGCAGATGATGGCATGAGCTAACTGTACTTTGGGTAGGAATTGCTAATCTCATAGATATAATTAGATATTTAAAAATGTAGTAGTACTATTTAAAAAAAAACTAGACTGACTAAAGTATTTCACATGATCCACTGCCTACACCTGCTGTAGATGTGGGGTCATCAAATCCATGTTCTTTATATATTTCTATATATGAAGTCTTGACATTCCTCATTTTTCATATATATTTAGATAACATTTTTCATATATATTTAGATAAATTAGGTATTCCCAAGTGTTACAAATCTGATCTTCGCTCATTAGGTATTCCCAAGTGATACTTGTCAAATGAAATAAAGGTTGTCCTTGACTTATGATCACAATTGAGATCTGAACTTCCATCCAGTAATGCAGTTGTTACGTGAGTCACACCCAATTTTTGCTTCATTTAAATTAATTACTGGTTGTGAAGCATATCCATCTTTCTCCATCAACTTTGCTTGTTGGAAATCCCCCAGAGAGGTCGCAAATGACGATCTCATGACACCCAAACAGTTCTACTATCATAAATACAAGCAGCTTGCCAAGTGCGTGACTTTTGATCACATGACCGTGGGGATACTGCAATGATCATAACTGCAAGAACTGGTCATAAGTTACTCTTTTCAGTGCCATCATAAAGTTTAGTGGTCATTAAACAAATAGTCATAAGTTGAAGACTATCTGTAGTATCTTGAAAGGGAATCCTTGGTACCCAAAACAATTCCTTTGGAAAAGCTAAATCAAAGATCTGAAAATGTAGATATCAAGTAGCTTCCTATATCTGAGGCCTGGACAAACAAGGGATACATTGCTAATCTTTAATGTTTTAAATAATTTTTATCAAGAGTTCAGAGAGGTCTTTCAAAATATAATTCATAAACTTACTGCTTAATATGATATCAATCCCTATAACCCAGCCATACCGAAGCTGAAAAGTGTTAATTAATAACAGATACCACATCTTATTAGCATTTCTATCATAATTACTAAAATCACAAATCCATCTGTTATATAGTCCACAAACAAGACAAATGACTATGTTCTGTTAAACTGATTATCAAATGCCTCAGGGATGAAAATCTAATAGCCGCAACTAAATCAAGAAGCAAGAAACAATCCTCTTAATTTGTATACATAGCAGATGTATATACCCAAAATATTGCTGGATTTACATTAACATTGTCAAATAATTCTATGCAGCTATACAGCTGAACTGTGCATATAGAGTGCCCATTCTAGAAATGTAAATTACAATCACTAAGAGTGTTTAGTGTTGAAGTGTTATGTTTCCATTTCCCTTTTAATGGTTAAAACATTTTTCTTCTTTGAAATAGCTCCATGAAAACAAAACACATTTCATCTATTTTATTAAAACGCAGATGGTAATCTGGTTTGTTTAATCAAATTTGATAAATAACATTAACCATAGCATTTATGATGATTTAAGAATTTTCAAGAACAGAATGAGTTCGAAGATTCTCCTCCATGCTGCATCGAGAGCCCAGGATGGGTTGACTCCTTCCTATGATGTCATTTAGCTGAGTCTGTACTAAGATATAAAAGCCGGCCCCCAGGAGAGACCCCAGCTTTTGACTCAGCTCCTTTCAGTCAGTAGCTGTTTCTCTGAAAGTGTTCTGTTAGATAGCTCTCACCAGCGATCTTCAATACTTTTTCCTCGTTTCAAGCAGCTCCCAGGGATCTGGGCAGCTGCTCTTCCAGGAGAGCAAGGCTCTCTCTCCTGCAATGTTGGGAGCAGTGTTACCAGAGCTCTGTGCAGGCAAGCTGGGCAGCGTCTGTAGACCTCTCCCACGCCTGCAGTTTTGAGGGATCGTAAAAACGATCAGCAAACCGATAAGAGCGCAAGCCAGCTGATCATGTGGCCGGCAGCTGCGTTTTTCCCTTGCTAACTTCGCTGGGGGCTCTGTATAACCTAAGGAGCGATTCTTCGATCTCGGAGCCTGTTTCCCCTAGTCAGCAGCCATCTTGGATTGAAGCCATCCACCATGAGGTGAACGGCCATTTTATAAGCCCAGAGGCCATTTTATACCCTAAAGTCCCCAACCTTTTTTGTACCAGGGACCGGTTCACGCAGAAACACTTTTTCAAGGACTGGTTAGGGTGGGTTAGTTAGTTAGTTAGTTAGTTAGTTAGTTAGTTATTTTATTATATATTCCACTCATTGAAAAGCTAGTTATGACTTAATTTAATTATAATCAAAGTTGGATTGGATTTAATAATCATGGTTAATGCAGGCATGATATTCCCCTCTGAAAAAAAAAATTGGGGGCGGCCAAAAGAGACCCCACGCCGCGCGCCAAGACATCACACACACAACACCAATGCTACACACCCTTCCTTTCCAGCCGGTCAGGTGTGGATCAGCTCTGGAGCTGGGCAGCCGCTTTCCTGGTAGCGGGGCCGCAGCTGCCGCCCAGGGAGCGCCCGCTGCTTTCCCTCACCAGGGCCGGGTGGTGGCGTGTTGCCTTGTGCCACATGGCCCCCACCTGGCAGCGCGCTTCTCGGCACGAGGCAGCCGGGTTGCCCAAGGAGCCCGGCCGGCCAGGCGAGGGGAAGGCAGCAAGGGCCCTGCTGGGCTGGGGTGGAAAACCCGCTTGGCAAGGGGCCGGGGAAGCCTGTGGGCGAAGGACCAAGCGCGCTGGGAGGCAGAGATTCAGCCGAGGCCATCAGACGGAGAGACAGCTGGTCTGTGGCTGCCCAGCTCCCATTTCCTGCCGCTCACCTGAGTGGCCTGTAGCCGCGTGTCAGTGAAGCGATTGAAGAGCTTCTCATGAGCCTTGACCAGGTCGCCGGCCGCTTCCAAAGAGGGCGAGGGAGTTCGTGCAGGCTGGGATCGAAGTAATCGGCAGCAGCGTAGCCTCCCTTCACCAGAGCCTCGCAGAACTCCTGGTGTAAGCCCGGCAAATCAGGAGCCTCCTTCTTAGGGAGAGCAGCTTCTCCATGGCTACCACATTGCCCTTTCTCTAGCCACGCACAGCGTGGAGCTGACGTTTTTGGTCGAGCGAGGCTGAGGGACCACGTCAAAACCAGCGCTCGATCCAGCATGTCGGAACAAGATGGCGCCGAAGCAAAGTAGGCGGCCCGGTCCCAAATGACCCGCGGACCGGTACCAGTCTGCGGACCGGTGGTTGGGGACCCCTGCCCTAAAGGACTTACTAAAAATTTCTAAACAGTTTCTTTCCAACGCAAGAGCCTTTATTCTAGAAATGGAGCAAGATAAGGCTCAGGCAGAGCTTCCCCTCCCCCCAGTGGAACAGTCTCTTAAGCCCAATAAGAGAAAAATATGTAGGCAACGCACCCGATCAGTCCAGAGGGAGGTAGCTGCTAAAATCAGAGCCAAGGCTCTAGCCCCCTTAAGAAGGCAACTCAGGCTGAGTTGAGGGCAGAAAAGCGCAGACATGCAGCCCTAGAGAGACAGTTCAACAGAACTATTCAACAGAAGGGAGTGCAACTACAGCATGTTTCGGGTGATACTTGTGGGCCCCAGCCAAGCCCTCCCAGGGGAGAAGTTATCTATGAGCCTTTCCATCCTCCATCCTGGTCTCCTGAGGTTCTTGCAGTACAATCAGATCCTCAGGATCTAAGCAGATCTGGGCCTTACTTCCAACAGGCTTCTGGGCCCTATGCTCCTCCCCTTCCCTCCAGGCCTCGAACCTCTCCTCAATCTAGGCCTGAAGCCACCTTCACTCCCACAGCAGCGGGCCTTCGGCCTTTTGCCTCTACCTTTGAGCATAGACCAAGGGATATCCAAGATGTTGTCTCATTGGCCATTAGGCAGTGATTGGCTGAAGGCTTCAAGCAAATTCTTCAACCTCTGGAAAAGGACCAAGCCCTTCTCCCTTCTCAATCTATAAGTTCCTTGCCTCATTGTTGTAGAGCGGCGGAGGAACGAGGCTGAACCAGAGTGAAACGTAAAAAGGCTTTATTGCAATGAATAAAGGGTTGCCGCGTCTGCCTTCTCGCTAGGCAGGCTAGCTGGCGGCAACGGAGCTGGCACTGCTTGACAGCCGCCTTTTATAGCCGGCTGTCAAACGGTGCCAGCCAATGGGAGCGGCTGGTGCTCCTGCTCAAACAGCGGACCTGGTTGGGGACTCCAACCAGTCCCAAAGACGTAACACTCATCACCTTGATTTACACAGGCCCCAGGACCTCAGGGTCCATTCTTCTCTACCAGAATGGGAGGAGGTTGATGAGGAAGGAAGGGCTTCACCATCTTAACACAGTTACTCCTCTCATTCAGAGTGTGAAGAGGGCGAGATTTTTGACCAAAATCTTTCAGAGGAAGAGGATTCTCACCAGAGCAGACATCCTCTGCATTGGTCTTCAAACCTACTCTCTTCAGGCCATTACTCAGCAAGGTCTTGGTCATGGCCAAACTGTCACTGGAGGAAGTGGCTCCTGAGCCACAAGGAAATCCCTCTAGCCAAGGGGACTCGCTCTTCTCCAAGCCTATAGTTCATGCAGAGGTTTTGCTGTCAGCCTTCGAGATCTTCCTCCTTTGCTTTGCTTCTTTCTGGCTGTCATGAGTAACTGGGGGTGGAAGGGGGAAATGTATGGGAAGTGAGCTGGAAGTGTTACTTACTAATATTGTATAAACTGGGGAGGGTTTCTATTTCCTGCTTAGCTTTCTCTTCTCTGCGCAACTACAAACCTTTATTTGAGTAAGCCAAGGTCAACTAATCATCACCACCTGGAGATGTCCACATGATGAAGTGCACAACTTTTAATTGGGAAAACCGTTTGAACTATTGGGGGTGGGAACATTTCACTCCCTTGATATATGTGATGTACGTGCCTATTTCCCCAGATTCAGAATAATGTCAGCTGGTGCTCCGTTCAAAATCCAAGAAAGAAATACTTAGACTCTTGTAGTAGAGAAAAGGTATCTTTTACTGGAAGTTAAGTGGTAGCAACTAGAGAATTCTGTATATGGGGAAATAGGCACGTACATCACATATATCAAGGGAGTGACATTTCAAGGCAAGTCCTAATGAATCAGGCCATTCAGCACTTTCTTGAAATCAGGGCTATTCAACTTGTTCCCCCCCTCTCAACGGGGACGTGGGCTTTACTCTCACCTTTTCATCGTTCCCAAAGCCTCGGGGAAGTGGCAAGCCATCTTTGATCTAAAATTTCTCAACCAATTTGTAAAATACAGGCGATTTAAAATGCAGACTCTGCATTCTATTTTAGAGAGCGTTCGGGAGGGCGACCTCCTTTCTTCCATTGATCTCACAGAGGCTTACCTCCACATCCCAATTTGGCCTCATCATCACCAGTTTCTCCATTTCTGTTATCAGAATACCCATTACCAGTATTGAGCACTTCCCTTCGGCCTCTCATTGGCTCCAAGGGTCTTCACAAAGGTTCTGGCAGCATTGATGGCATCTCTGCGTTCTGTTCCAGTGAGCATCCAATGCTACTTGGATGACATTTTGATTCTGTCCTCTTCCATCCATGCGGCCCATCGGGATCTGCAAATTACCCTGTCATATCTCCAGAGCCACGGATTTTCCATCAACACCAAAGAGCCAGCTCTCTCCCACAACCAAACTGCAACACTTGGGAGCAGCCATCGATACCACGTCGTGCCAGGTTTTCCTGTTCCCAGCTCATGGAAAGAGCCTTGCAGAGATCATCAGCCAGATCCAGCAACACCAAACTGTCCCCCTGTCGCTGCTGTCCAAACTTCTGGGGAAGATGGTCTCCTGTTTTGTCATCGTCCTGTGGGCTTGGCTCCACTCCCGGCCCCTCCAATGGTTCCTGCTTCCCTACCAATGAGCAGGAACCAGCCACTCATCCATCAAGGTCCCACTCCTGCCACAAATCCAGAGATCTCTCAATTGGTGGCATTCCCCATCAATCTGGAGGGGACTCCTGTTCAGGGACCCAGACAGGCTAGTGATAACCATCGATGCCAGCCTCCTGGGTTGGGGTTCCCATATACAGGGCCAGATAGCTCAGGGCGTTTGGTCCAGATCAGAGCAGACCCTTCCCATAAATTGGCTAGAGCTCAGAGACATTTTTCTGGCTCTCAAGCATTTCAGGCAATCAGTGACCGGCTCTCATGTTCTAGTCCTTACGGACAACAAGGCTGCAAAGGCTCATGTCAACCGGCAAGGGGGGACGAGGCCCAAAGCCCTCATGAGAGAGGCTCTATAGTTAGGGTTATGGGCAGAGAAACACCTGTTGTCGATCTCGGTGGACCACATCTCCAGGGTCAACAACTCCCAGGCCAACTGGCTCAGCAGGAGCCTAGTTGACCAGGCAGAATGGTCCATTCCTGCATCTCTATTCAGAGACCTTTCCCTCAGATTCAGAACACCGGAGGTGGATCTCTTCGCTCCTCAAAACGCCCAAGTCACAAGATTCTTCACCAGGTTTCCTTGCCAGGGAGCGGAGGGGACCAATGCATCTTTGGTGCAGATGGCCCAAGGGTCTCCTCTACGCCTTTCCCCCACTTCCCATCATTCTAGCAGTAATTCGGAAGATGCTGGAGGAACAAGTGGAGCTCCTCCTCCTGGCACCCTATTGGCCAAGGAGGCCCTGGT